ATATATATATATATATATATATATGTCTTCGTACTACCATCTTTGAACTTAGAAACTCATCAACCATTCGCGTAAAACGAAAGGGGAAAACAAACATAATGATCTCAACGTGACAAGAACGTGGTAAAACGTGGAGACAGAAGAGCACGGGAGGGGAGGATGTAAGGTATGATAAAAAGTGTCAAACCGAAAGCGAAACGTTGTGGTAAGCACATTGACGTAAAGAATTGCTCGATCGCAGGCTAATGGCGAACAGTGGTTACCACGATTACAGGATCGGATCTCGCGTTAGCCATGCGCGAACGATCATCTCTCTCTCTCGAGAAAAATTGAGCCGGAAGCGATCGGCTTTCGAAAACGACGACGACGCAAAATTCGCGCGTTGTTGACGTCAACCTGGTCGTCGACGAAATTTCGTTAATGAGTAAAACGGTCGTTCAGAATTGGATTGGGCACACGCCAGAACGCGACGTGGCTGGCCGGGTATCGATTCAACGGCGATGGGCTAACACGCGGCGCGGACAATGCGGAGGAAATGCGGCACGTAAGTTGACGTTACGAAACTTTTATATCCTTTTAGCATTCGCGATAAGCCGAATATGAACTTTGCAGTATTGCGCGTCTATCGTCAACGCGAGTTTTCAAAGCTCCCCCGTTTAGCGCACGAATAAGCGAAGAAATCAAGTTTGACGCAGACGACTCGCAACGTCATCAAACTTTTTACACTATACTGAAAAAAAATCGAGCATATATAGTATCACCTTCGATGATATAAACCGCATGCTGACATAAATTATCCGATCACATGGGTACAACTTTGAAGACTCGCGTTGCATTTAAGTGATAAGTCTCGATGTCGCCTATATTCTTCTGTGCGTTAAACGAGGTCGGAATTTTGCCGGGAAATTATTAGATCATGAGAACAATTAGGGATGATGGGACCCATCGTAAATCTTTGCAATCTCCAATTAATAGGATGAATTTATAGAAAGATAGCGATGTTCGTTGCGAGGGTAATTGCGAGTAATTTCGTGAGTGACGATATATATCAAAGAGAGAGAACTCGTCAACCACCCCCGTGGTTATATCGTAGAGAAGCATATATCTTCCTTTCCACTTTTAATGCATGTGCACACGCCGTTTGTTCGTTTGCACACGCCGCAATATTACGAAGGAATTGGAGTGAGGGAGGAAACCGTGTGGCAATGACGTTTGGTGCGAGTGCTCGCAGCAAAATAGACGAAGTACTTGGCGCAGCTTCGTGACGAGATTTTGGGATAACGAGATCTTGGCCGACGCGGTATGCAATTGCGTTCGCGTACTGGCAAATATCACATATACACGCCGTACCGTCTGTGCGTGTGTCGAAGAAATGATTGAAGCGCTAAGCATAGCACGGAGCTAAACCATTTGAGACAAGATTGCAACATTTTGAGACAAGATTGCGTTGACATAATTGTCCGCGAAATAGCGTTGCTACTTCCGCAGTTTATTATTCGAGCGATAAGTGGACACAAGTTATTTGCTTCTCAAGTTTATCGCGCCTCTTTTTCTTTTTCCATTTTCCACCGCACGGATGTGTTGCATTATTTTTAATTCTTCTTAATTTCGAGTAATTTCACGAGAACTCGTTGCTTGTCCTAGTTACATAAATTCACGACAACCGTATGTAATAATCACGTGGAATTCTGGAGACATTCTTTGAATGTTTGAACATTAGTTTGGTTGAAATGAATTACATTATATTCTAGAGTATAAATATATCCGAGGCTCTTCTAATTTTATTTATTTTGAAACAAATCGTATGAATTATAAAAACATTTTCAGATTTCTTGACAATAAAATTATATCTGTAGCAAATGAATTTGCTACCTAAATTTAACATCTCCAAATTAAGAACACTTCATATTTATTTTCTGACTCAGAGACAAGTGTCCTATATTCACAGATATTACATTTCTTCATTCATGAAGAGAGAGAGAGAGAGAGAGAGAGAGAGAGAGAGAGAGAGAGAGAGAGAGAGAGAGAGAGAGAGAGAGAGAGAGAGAGTACGTAGTACGTACG